AAATTGTTAAAGACTTAAAAGATCTTTTCATCTCTCCAACTGTTCCCAGTGGTGTGTTTGACTCCATCATCACAGTCTACAGAGAAGAAGGCATACTGGGCTTCTTTGCGTAAGTTTGACATCCGTATTTAACTTTCTCTTCCTTGATGGTGAACCTAAAGATGAGTCCAATGAGGCTCAGTACAAAAGCTCTGTATGTCCCATCAACATGGTTGTTATATTCCAGTAACATTAAAGGGATAGTTCACCCACAAATGAACATTCAATCATTATCTACTCACCACTATGCCAATATGCCGTGTTACAGCAGAATCCAATACAATTTAAGAAATGAGTGACCAAAGCTTCAGAAGTAATAAAACAGACATTCAAATTGAACTCGAAAGGAGGTCATTTACAGTGTTTTAAGCCTAAAAGTCCACCAGAAGGGGCTATGCTAGCAAATTTTAGCATTTCCGTCAGTCCTTGAATGCACCTCGCCGGAAGGTATCAGCAGACATTTTGGCATAAAACACATTGAAAATAACCCTGTTTCAAGTCGAATTTTGTCAATGAATCATTGTCGTAAGAAGAGAATAGAAAGGAAAGAGAATTTCAAAATAGAGATTTGAATGAACGAGGTGGCTCCGTTAAATCTCGAGAGAGAGCCATCAGGCTCTCCAAGTACCACTGTTGTGACCTACATTAAAACACAGTAGAGTAGACCTAACCTATTCAGCTACAGACAGTTCAGGCAAGATGAAAGTTTATTCCTAATAATAAAATTATTTATTGTTGAATGTGCTCTGTCAAATCTCGCTCCGCCTCCTCCAACTAAATTCTACTCTAGAAACATGTAATGATCAAGTTTGTCCCAAGTCAAATTCAACACAGAGTGAAATATTTCATGCATTTATTTCTTTTAATTTAGGTTTTCATTCAGATGCGCCTGTATATGCACCTTTTCACTGAAGTAGTTTGTATGAAATGTGATAAGTAAAGTGCAGGATGATTGTACGAGCAATTAAAAATCTATTATGTGCTTAAGAAAAAACCTTTGTACATAAGAACATTGTAAATAAACAACTTAGTATTTTCTGGTTATTTAAATTATATTGCAATAGATATCGATATATAATTTTTTTGTCCATATCGCCCACCCTACCCTGTATTAACATCCGTCCTGAGTGATCCAATCACAAATGATCCATCCTAAGTACTCATCTAAGTGCACCCAAGTGCGTCCTGATTCGATCACTCAAACCACATTCGCAGGTGCTCTGGGATGGATGTGGCCACATTCTTTTTGCTATGTGAACATGGGGAGAATGCATGTGGACCACAGTCAAAGCACTGCCGACTCACTGATGTCCTCTGACCTGCTACAGTTTCACAAGAAATAGAAAGTATTGTTAGTATTTTTAGTATTTCTCAGTGCCCATAGGTTGTTAATTGCCATTGCCAAAATATCAACACTGACCAATGCATCATAATTTTTCTCTCGCCAACACACAGAGCACACAAATTCAGACACGTCTGTAAACTCAGAATGGCTAAAACAACATAATTTGGTCTTTGTGAACAAACATTCCATGCATTATTATTTGCATATTGAGTGGGGAAATGACATTAGAACACAAATTATCACATTCATTACACATTTTAATGCAGGATGTGAACACACAAGATAGATGGGGTGAATATAAATGAACCTGGCAGGTCTCATTACATTGGCTAATTAAATTGTAACCTATACTTTGTCTGATGTGATCTTTTATTCAGTATGTAAGATTTTTTGATCAGATATTATGTTGTTTGGTTTTTTTACCTCAGTGGTTTGATTCCTCGCCTCCTCGGTGATGTGCTGTCCCTGTGGATTTGTAACCTACTGGCACACCTCATCAATACATACGCCATCGATGACTCGGTATGCTGCTTCTTGTATATCACACTTCATTCAGGGGGTCTGTATTCTGTAGGGGTTAGGGTTCAAGGAGTTAATTGCCCTGAGATTAAACTGTCAGGCACTACTTGGAGTAACAGGGCTGTCGTGCAGGGTCAATGCACAGAAACACTTGTCACCAGCTTCTGAAATTCTGATAGATCCCGTCTGTTAGTACTCAAACTGTGGTTTATTTTGCAGATTCTAGGCTTGCAGCTGGAATAGTATATCCCAATGTCAACACAGTGACCATCAACCCACTTCTGACTAATGCAAGAGATAAAACAAATTAGCCTTCTGTGCTGGAGGATACCATGCAGATTTGTCTTCAGAAAAATGCAATGTTAATGTGGATTTAAACACTTTGCAAGACAAAGGTGTTAAATATTGTGAAGTATTGTGGTGCTAGATCAAATGAACAAATGACATTCTCCAGTTGAACTTCCATTACTATCAATAAGATCAATAATGTTGATTAACCTAATAGTTTTGTAAATGATAAATGGTCTCTATATTTAGAGCACTTTTCCAGTCTTAACTACTCAAAGCGCTTTACAGTATAAGTGGAATTCACACACACATTTAGGGCTATAACAATTAATAGTTTGCAAATATTACATAATTGGTTATTTCATTCTGATATATATATATACACACACACACACACACACACACACACACACAGGATATATATATAAGTCCTCATTCCAGGCATGAATGCAGAATTAACACTGAATCTGTTCCTCTGATCAGATGAGTCACACAGGTGAAATAAAGAACTGCTCCCAGGCTGTAACAGGGGTGAGTCTGACACACCGGCATGATCTTAGTCCATCTGTTTGAAGCTTGTTTGGTCATGTTCCTCTTCTGCTCTCTCTTTCAGTTCTTTGCCAGTATGCTCACATACCCTTTTGTCCTGGTGTCAAACCTCATGGCTGTCAATAACTGCGGGTGAGTTCATGTATTTTTGTAAATCCTCACAAGTGTCAGATCAAACAGAGTAAGGCCCGATCCCATTTCACCCCTCCTCCCTACCCCTTGTTTTTCGAGGGTTATCTTGCCCCTTGAAACAGAGTCACAAGGGGAGTGGTTGAAATTTTCCCCACGAATTGGGACAGCCTCTCAAGAAGCCATTACATCATCAGTAGTCTTCTACGAAAACGTGACACGTCATCAGTAGTCGTCGATGTAAACAGACAAGACAAAGTTTTGGCAGGAATGTCATTGTAATAACATTGTTGACATCTTAAATATACAAATGTCATTGACAAACCTATAACATCTATGCTAATGCAGGTGAATCAATGGTTTTTGACATTCATCCAATGGAAATTGAAACGCTTTTGGATGCTCTGCATAATTTCATGTATGAATCAAAAGCACACAGGCAGTGGTCTGTAGGCAACCCTGCCAAGATTCTTTGTTATTAAAGGAGCAGTTAAGTTTAGTAACATTGCTGCTATACGCTGGTTAAATTAGGTGCATCTTGTATGTCAAGGGGGGGGGGTGCAACATGAAACAAATTGCTAGCATGCTAACGATTCTTTTTAAGGTTGTGGAAAAAAATGGCCATAATGCAAGGTATTAGAATTATTATTGTAATTTTTAAATCCTTATTAATGGAGAAAATACTACATTTGCTGGTCTCTCTCCCAGCTTGCTGATGATATCCAACGCTTGACTCTCCCCCTCCATCGCTACAAGACTCTGGACACACTACACTACACTCCACAAAATGGGGGGGAAGGGCTAAGGGTCAGGGAGAAGGGGTGAAATTAGATTGGGCCTTATATTTCCACTGTTCTTCAGGCTCGCTGGAGGTCTGCCTCCCTATGCATCAATATATCCCACCTGGGTGGACTGCTGGAGACATCTAAGCAGAGAGGTAACTGCATCATACACCAAACAGCTGGACAGATGTTCCAGATGTAGCCTTAAAGCCTTTAGTCACTTGTAGCCATCACATGGAGCACTGAGTGTTATCATCTTCAGTGCTTTTCACATTGTACATGGTTTTTAGTTTACAATTTTATTGTTCCAAAGTGTAAATTAAAGCTCATCCAATTAGACAAACTCTAAGAAGATAGAAGTTGTTAATTTAGCTTCTGTAATGATATTTTTGGCACTTCTGTTTTTATGCAATACAATATAACCACAGGTGGTCCAGGAAATTCCAACTGAATAGTATTTCCCTTATGTACATACCAGATCTTGTATTTGATAGAGCTTTCACACCTCATCTGTTTGGTGTGCTATGAAAGATGATGTCATTATTTGTATGAATATTTATAGAGATATGGCGTCGTCAGTTGTAGTCCTGAGTACTTTGAACTCTGTGATATCAGAGAAGGATAATGCACACATCAGGTTCAGTCCTACTGTCAGTTACCACAATCTGATTCCCTAAAATCAGAATAGATAAGAAGGTCCATGTTGACCCTCACCTCTTGCTTAATGCTCTTAGATGTTTTTAAAAGCTGACCTTAGCCATGACCACCTGAACTGCACCAAAGGTGTGACAGTAACCAAAGCTTATAGCCATTGGAAGTGAGTCAACATTTTTGAACATAAAACTCTCTTCAAGTCAGTTGTGAGATTCACCCAAGAAAGGAAGGGTTTCTGGACAGGGGTTTCTGGACATCATTCACCTCTAAACACTTGTTTCCTCTCTTCATTCCAGGGCAACATGAGCAGAGGAAACAGTTTATTTTTCCGGAAACTTCCGGCAGGAAAAATGTACGCGATTGAGCAGAAGAGATTTTTTTGAAGCCTCAAGAGAACTAAGCTGAACATAGCTGTGATAATGAAACAGAAAAAAATCAACAATGCCTGAACTCGGGTTGGACAGTCGGCACGTCATTTTTTGTATGCACTTGTTTACTCTGAGGTTTTTTTCCTAAAACTTGCCACCATGTGATAAAAGAAAAAAAATATTAGTTTCCAGTTTACCTCCAGCAGGTTGTTTTATTAATAGAAATGTATTAACTGATTGAAACAGCAGGCTCATGATACAGTGAGATGGAACAGGATCTATTTTGAAACCCACATGTACAAAAACTGATGGGAGGATAACTTATGGTGGCAAACAACCTGTCTGCATACTGTTATGACAGACCAATGTGCTAGTAACCCCCATGTTTTTAATATCTATTGTGATCTATCAATAAGGACTCCCCTTTCCCATGTGATGGGATTTGTTTGTTGAAAAAAAGCACTTCAGTCTGCATGTGGTAATGTCTAAAAATTCACACAATGATCAAGTGGGACCTCTTGTCATGTGGTATTGTCTTCTTGTGTTAGTTATTCTAAAGCTCATTGCTGGATGGGCTTGTTATGCTTATAAAAAGGAGGTAAAAAACTCTGAGATCGAGGTTTTTCCAGGAGCATGTGTTCTTGTACAGAGGCATGGAGAAGAGCCTATATTGACCAAACTCTCTGACACTGAACACTCAAGTGCTGGTTTCAACTCATCCTGACAGACCCAAATAAAAACAGCTTTTTTGACCTTGCTTCTCTTGTAAGGGTGTTTGATGTAGATTTTGGAAGACTATAAAAACCAGGGTACAATGTGGAGAGCTGCTTGGGTACAGATGTTCAATGAGCTGAAGGACTGGGGAGGTTCTGTTTCTTCCTGTCAGCAGAGCCAACCGTGAGTGTCTCAATAAAACCTGTATCCAAATACACGCTCACTTTTATTCACACATCACACTTTACTTACACACTGTTGGATGATTTTTTTTTTTTTTAGATATGCTGACATTAAGAAACTCATTGTTACACCAGCCTCATCCTTTAATCATGGTATGTTGATTTTCTAGATTTGATGACCAGTCAGAGCGGTTCACAATTCAGTTTTGACATACACACATCTGAGACAGTCAGGTGCAATTTGGGGTACTGCATCTTGCCAAAGGAAAGGGGGAGGATGGGATTGAACTGGGGTCATTTCTACTTTTCACTGTTACCCCAGGAATTAAAACCTTCTGACTGCGTCATTATAGAACTATAGTAGCATGAGAGCGCTTTACAATTGAGCTTTTTGCCTGTAGTTTTATATTAAAATAACTGTCATGTCGTGATATTGTCTTAGTTGAGTGGCATCAATTAACATTGGAGAAGCTGTTGCCCTATTCCAAATAAAGAACATTAATAGTTCAAACTGTCCATTTAGGAAGCACATAATGAATCAGTTTCAACTGCTTTGGTGCAAATGAAAGTGGCAACAGGTGGAATGGAGAAGCAAAATCAACTTAACCCCTAAAAAGGGAATGGTTTTGCATGTGCTGGCAACAGACAGCTGCTCTCTCCTTATCTTTCCTGACTGATTCTTCTCTAGTTTTGTGTTCTGCTAGTGTCCTTGTCACTACTGGTAGCTTGAGGCAGGACCTGCAGCCCAATCAAGTTGCACAGGTGGTCCAGCTCCTCCAGGAAGGCACATCCATATCAGCGGATGCAAGGTTTGCTGTCTCCCAGTACAATCTCAGGAGCAGGAAGCAGATACCAGGAGACCAGCAGTTACACAATGAGAGCTGGACAGGTCTGTGGAAGGGCATCAACCCAGCAGCAGGACCAGTATCTGCTCCTGTGTGTGAGGAGGAACAGCAGCAGCACTGCCAGAGCTGTACAAAATGACCTCCAGCAGGCTACAGGTGTGCATGTTTCTGACCAAACTGGCTGAATCTAGCCCTCAATGGGTTGATGATTTTGGTTTCCATTGACCGTTGTTACATCATAATGTTCTCGGCAAATTATAGAATGAACATCTGTAGAGATTTTCAACTTGTATTATTTGTTCAAGATCTGGTGTTTGATTTAAGTGTTCCCTTAATTTTTTTGAGCAGTGTACATTTAAAAAGCACATTTTAAATTGAATTTATGGAAAAATAATTTATATTCATTACATGATGCATTGACTCTGCACATACCTGCTAGTACAATAGGCAACTACCAAGTTAATGAAATGTTAATAATGAAAAAAATCAGTGAGCACCTGCTGGAGGCTCTCCTCTCAGAATGATGGGTTATACATAAACCATCAGTGTTTGGTTAAACCTGTCACTTCCATCATCATAAGTTTCATGAGGACAAATGAGTAGAGACTCATGTTTATACACTATGTGTTCTTGGCTGAGCTTCCAGAGTCTTCTGCATGCTTGTGTCCACTGTGTTGATCGTTGATATGTTGAGTCATGTCCTTGCGGTTGGATGATATGTGACCACACTGCACACACGTGTAGCATCCTTTAGTGTGCTCCCAAAGGATTCGTCTGTTGCACACCATACCTAAAATAAGAAAGGACATATTCATGTCTGAACAAAGGAATCATTTCAAATTCAAGATATTCTTTCATCATGACCTATGAAGATAGCTTGCAATCATAAAAAAATGCTGGACTCAACACTAATTAATCTGCAGACAGCTGCAGGTATCAACCTCTAATAATCTCCTGAAATTATCCGAAGGGGCTGTATTTGAGAACGCAGGTCAGTCGCTGATGACATTCTCAGGAATGTTTTTCTTGTTTGCCTCAGATTATAAAGGTTACTACAAGGAGTTTTTAACTGGTTATGAAAAAGTTGCATTTTAATATTCCTGCCTCTTTATGACCAACAACACCAATTGAGACAATCAGGGAGAAAATTGGCTTTTTCTGTAAACTTTTCTCAACGTCTGATCAGGTTGGATTACCTGCTATGTCAGATTATGGCAGTCAGGCCGGAAAAGCCTATGTTTATATTGCCAAGGGCATCAGGTTCAGTTTCAACTTTTTTTTTATCCCCCATGGACATCCTATGTACCCCAGAGCATTACCATCCAACAAATGAAACGACACAGCCGGCAAAGGAAGCACTGTCTCCAAACATATATAACTATATTTTATATTATTTTTATAACATAAAATTATAACAACTAGTCTGTCAGTGCTGAAACATGATGGCTACACAACTATTCCTGGTCTCTCACTCCTATTTTCCACCCACCTCTCCTGTATGAAAAGACCCAAAATGAACATAAGTGGACTTATTGGAGCTGTGCATGGCTCCCTGGGTGTCTGCCAAGGACTTGGTGGCGCTGTGGAGTTCCGTGGTCCCCATTTACTATTTATGTTTATTTATTGCAAGTCATATCGTCATCGCAATGTTCAATTATTATCCATTACCACATGTTTTCCTAACATTGTGCAGCCCTAGTCCAAGCCACCTTTCACCTGTTACTTTTGACTGGACTCAACTGTAAAATCATTAAGTCTCGACCAAACAAGCTAGGTGAGGAGAAAGCTCACCTTGATTCTTCTTCCAGATTGCCGAGGACCCAGGAGGAGAGTGAGGGGCTGATACAGGAGCATGGTGGATGGGCTCGGGAGACCTACTCTGTGTCTGGTTCTGACCCTGGGCATCAGAGAGGTCTGAGGCTGCTGATGGGCCATCCATGTTAGGAGATAGAGGCAGATTACAGGCTCCATTTTTGAGCAGATGAATAGGGGGGGTTTCTGGGTGAGCTGCAGAGTCTGGCTGAGGAACAGCAATGGGGAAGGAACCCTCTTGGTTTGGGATTTGAGAGGACGGTTGCAGGGTCGTAGACATTGAATCTTGCCACTGGGGTTTCTGGTCCACGGAAATGGAGGCCATGTTTGGGTTGATCACAGTAGCAGGCTGAGGGGGCGTCTGTTCTGCTGGCTTTGTTTTGCCCCGTGGTACTTTGGAGCAGGTGTGCAGGTGAGTCAGGAGGCCACGGTAGGATCGCAACTTTGTGCGACAGCTCTCACACCTTCATAAACAGAGGCAATGTTACATTATATTACACAATTTAGCTGACACTTTTATTCAAAGCAACTTACAATTTGTAACTTCAACATCTATGAGGGGCCTTTTGTATGGGGGAGGAGAACTGCTCTACCCCCTCAGCCAGAGTGATATCGTGACATCAAGGATATTTTACTAATGAGTTACTGCATCTCAGCTACAGGTAAAATAAAGACCAACTCACAAGAAGAAAATGTTGGGTTTATGATGTTGTCTCATGTGTTCCATCAGTTTCTGCATGTTGGGGAAGGAACCACTGCAGCCGACAGTGGAGCACAGCAAAATCTTTCCTAAAGAAAGGACAGTGTTCACCTAATGTCATGTGTTGCACTACATATTACAATCTCCTCTTCACACCCAGACTAAATTTATAGCCAGAAACAATCCACAATTAGGGTTGGGTAACGTTCACATATCACCCTCTCACTTTCTCGATCACACTGACACATTCAGTTGGCAGTGCGCAGCGAGAATGATAGAGACACAGAGAGAACGTAATTTGGTCAGTACCCTTTAAAGTACAGAATTGGTTACCCAACGCTATTCACAAGGACGTTGTAGTTCTTTGACCAGACTGTCCAGTAGCCTGGGAGCCCAGCAACGGAGTAGTGCATTGGTATAACTGCTGTCCAACTACATTGCAAAAAATAAGCGATGAGGTACCCCTTCAGGTAAGTAATGATATCTCAGCAAGACTCAAATACCTAAGTTTTGGTATAAATTACCTTTGGTTAAAATGTTACCAATTTTACAATATTAACATAATCACTCACAATGCTGTTACTTTTTTATAGGGGATAACATAATGATACATATGGAGCTGGAAAAGAGCTTTGAAATGATGAGCTTACAATTTCTCTGTGACCGATATTCAAGGACATGTGTCCACTCAAAGTCAGAGTCCCCCAAAAAGGTCAAAGTTCATTTGCCCAAATTTAATTTCCCTTAAAAAAATAACAGTACACTCATTATCTACTCAGCACGAGGGATGTCACGATAAGAAATTTTGGTGCCACAATAATTATATTCAGAAGAAATATCAGTTTCACGATTATTGATACTATAAACGGAAAAAGACACACAACAAACAATATATAATGAATATATTGCTAATAATTTAGCTAATGAACTAAAATATGTATTATCATCAACAATATCCAGTTAGTTTTTATAGTGTAATGTTTGGCTWTTTAAAAGTAATTTATGTAAGCTATTTGATTTAGTTTTTCCTGATTGTGGAAGGTTGCTCAGTGAATTTGAAACCGAAAGTAAACCATGATTGCTCCTCTCACTGAACTCCTCCGATGGAGTTGCTTGTCCAGTGTTGGTGGAAATAAAGCCGTTACGTCAGTTCCCTCTACTCAACTAACGTTGCAGTGGCTCGCGCACACAAAACATGACTCGCGAGAGTTGTCACCTCACGTCCAACACACAAAGTACGTGACTCGCGAGAGGCAGATCACCATAGTTAGATATACTAGTTTTTACAGGTCTTGAAAATCGTGACGTTAAGAAACCGCG